CATAGCAGTTTCTCTGAAACTACTATGTTTATGAAAAAATGGGTTAAACCTAGCTGGACCTGGCACCCAGACCACTTCATTAAGCTGAAGTGGTCTGGGTGCCTAGAGTGGTCCTTTAATTGAGCCCAATTAGTTCAACTCAATCATCTCTCAGTTGCAGGAACCCATACACAAAAACCCCAAAACACATACAGTTTTACTAGGAATCCCCGGATAGCCCGGATCCCAACGCCCAAGTTGTCCAAATAGCACTTGGATCTGTTCGGTGGAACAGAATCGCCATCCGGTTAAAGTTTTGACCAACCGGCAAAGAGGTCGTAGCACAAAAGAGTTCCAGAGCGAAATAGGCTGTGGCAGGTCTCTGTTCTGGAGTTCTTGTATTCATATAAATAAGTGTTTGTTTCTGGTTCCAGGGAGTGAATGTTCTTTATGTTCGTGCAAACAATTTGCTTGAAGAGTGCTCTCCTGAGACGTTTGGAAAAGAAGCAGACAATGCTACAAGTTCAGCAGTGTTTGCGGGATAGTCTGTCCGATATTAGTTCCATGCTCTCGTATGTACGGTGTGTATATATAGATATAAACAGGATAGTGACACGGTATGTACGGTGTGTATATAGATATAAACAGAATAGAGTGACACAGTATGTACGGAGTGTATATAGATATAAACAGGATAGTGACACGGTATGTACGGTGTGTATATAGATATAAACAGGATAGTGACACAGTATGTACGGTGTGTATATAGATATAAACAGGATAGTGACACGGTATGTACGGTGTATATAGATATAAACAGGATAGAGTGACACAGTATGTACGGTGTATATAGATATAAACAGGATAGAGTGACACAGTATGTACGGTGTGTATATAGATATAAACAGGATAGTGACACAGTATGTACGGTGTGTATATAGATATAAACAGTATAGTGACACGGTATGTACGGTGTGTATATAGATATAAACAGGATAGTGACACGGTATGTACGGTGTGTATATAGATATAAACAGGATAGTGACACAGTATGTACGGTGTATATATAGATATAAACAGGATAGTGACACGGTATGTACGGTGTGTATATAGATATAAACAGGATAGTGACACAGTATGTACGGTGTGTATATAGATATAAACAGGATAGTGACACAGTATGTACGGTGTGTATATAGATATAAACAGTATAGTGACACGGTATGTACGGTGTGTATATAGATATAAACAGGATAGAGTGACACAGTATGTACGGTGTGTATATAGATATAAACAGGATAGAGTGACACAGTATGTACGGTGTGTATATAGATATAAACAGGATAGAGTGACACAGTATGTACGGTGTGTATATAGATATAAACAGTATAGTGACACGGTATGTACGGTGTGTATATAGATATAAACAGGATAGAGTGACACGGTATGTACGGTGTGTATATAGATATAAACAGTATAGTGACACAGTATGTACGATGTGTATATAGATATAAACAGGATAGTGACACAGTATGTACGGTGTGTATAGATATAAACAGGATAGTGACACAGTATGTACGGTGTGTATATAGATATAAACAGGATAGTGACACAGTATGTACGGTGTGTATAGATATAAACAGGATAGTGACACAGTATGTACGGTGTGTATATAGATATAAACAGGATAGTGACACGGTATGTACGGTGTATATAGATATAAACAGGATAGAGTGACACAGTATGTACGGTGTGTATATAGATATAAACAGGATAGGGTGACACAGTATGTACGGTGTGTATATAGATATAAACAGGATAGTGACACGGTATGTACGGTGTGTATATAGATATAAACAGGATAGAGTGACACAGTATGTACGGTGTGTATATAGATATAAACAGGATAGAGTGACACAGTATGTACGGTGTGTATATAGATATAAACAGGATAGTGACACAGTATGTACGGTGTGTATATAGATATAAACAGTATAGTGACACAGTATGTACGGTGTGTATATAGATATAAACAGGATAGTGACACAGTATGTACGGTGTGTATATAGATATAAACAGGATAGTGACACAGTATGTACGGTGTGTATATAGATATAAACAGTATAGTGACACAGTATGTACGGTGTGTATATAGATATAAACAGGATAGTGACACAGTATGTACGGTGTGTATATAGATATAAACAGGATAGTGACACAGTATGTACGGTGTGAATATAGATATAAACAGTATAGTGACACAGTATGTACGGTGTGTATATAGATATAAACAGGATAGAGTGACACAGTATGTACGGTGTGTATATAGATATAAACAGGATAGTGACACAGTATGTACGGTGTGTATATAGATATAAACAGGATAGTGACACGGTATGTACGGTGTGTATAGATATAAACAGGATAGTGACACAGTATGTACGGTGTGTATATAGATATAAACAGGATAGTGACACGGTATGTACGGTGTGTATATAGATATAAACAGTATAGTGACACGGTATGTACGGTGTGTATATAGATATAAACAGGATAGTGACACGGTATGTACGGTGTGTATATAGATATAAACAGGATAGTGACACAGTATGTACGGTGTGTATATAGATATAAACAGGATAGTGACACGGTATGTACGGTGTGTATATAGATATAAACAGGATAGAGTGACACAGTATGTACGGTGTGTATATAGATATAAACAGGATAGAGTGACACAGTATGTACGGTGTGTATATAGATATAAACAGGATAGTGACACAGTATGTACGGTGTATATAGATATAAACAGGATAGTGACACGGTATATGCCGATTGTGTATATAGATATAAACAGGATAGTGACACAGTATGTCTGTTGTGTATATAGATATAAACAGGATAGTGACTGCAGTATATGCGATTGTATATAGATATAAAGCAGGATAGTGACCGCGGTATATGCGGTGTGTATATGAATATTGTAGCGGACGTTTGCAAGGTAAAAACCGTTTAGGTGATCGGCCCCCTTTCCAGAGATGCAGGCACAGCTACTGCAGAACACCAAACTCCTGAACTGGATACAAAATAGCACTCCAACTCCCGAACTGGAACCTCCCAAATAGCTGCTAGCAGACGAACAGGAAAAGCAGACGAACAGCTTACACTCCTGGCAATCAGTCTCTAACAGCATACAGTGAATCCCCCCCAAGAGCGAGACAAGGCTCCGTGTTGAGGGTCAAGCAGTGGTCTGAGGTGCTGGCACACCCAGCCTGGTTTTTATTACAGTGTTTCAAATACAGGACCACCCACAGGGAGGGATAAAACAACCAATCATATATCACAGTTACATCCCACATATTCCCTCCCCTTATCCTGAGAGGAAACTCAATTATACAAACAGTTAAAACATACTTTCTACCCAACTTTCATAACTCCAAAACCATATATCACATTCACATAAAATTACATATTCTCAATCAATCCATTCAGGGGAACAACATATTCAAAAATGGCACAAATCAGACAAGGGGTTCAACAGTTAGTAAAAAGTCCTTTGTGACTAAATGAAGCATGGCTTTCTGGCCCAAACCAGTTTCAGAGTCTTCTATCCTGGAGAGTAATTCAATTATCTCCCAGGATAGACACAAGACTCCATTAAGCACATGGTTGCAAAAAGACACAAAACACTTTAAAATACATAAAGTCACTTTTTACACATAACACACAGACATTTCACATATCCCCAGATAGCTCAGGTCTGAGCGCACATTATTAAGTGAATGGCGCTCAGACCACACGAATACAGTTTAATCGCCATGGAGCCAAAGTCTTTACAGTCAGTTTCATACAAATGGGCTCCATGGGATTCCTATCTGGGGTATAACACATTAAAACAAATCTACCGAACCCCAGGCAGAAAAGCACGAATGAAGCTTTTCTGCAGGCAAAAATAAAGTCTTTTAAAAGGGGGCCATAGTCCAAAGGCAGCAGGCGAGCAACCAGGCTTCTCCAATGCAATGTGGCGAGATTGGTCTCGTCACAGATATAAACAGGATAGAGTGACACAGTATGTACGGTGTGTATATAGATATAAACAGGATAGTGACACAGTATGTACGGTGTGTATATAGATATAAACAGGATAGTGACACAGTATGTACGGTGTGAATATAGATATAAACAGTATAGTGACACAGTATGTACGGTGTGTATATAGATATAAACAGGATAGAGTGACACAGTATGTACGGTGTGTATATAGATATAAACAGGATAGTGACACAGTATGTACGGTGTGTATATAGATATAAACAGGATAGAGTGACACAGTATGTACGGTGTATATAGATATAAACAGGATAGTGACACAGTATGTACGGTGTGTATATAGATATAAACAGGATAGTGACACAGTATGTAC